GACTCCCGTGTCCGGCACAGCGTTTCTGGTAGCGCTGGCACAGACCTTTCGCCTCCTCCCTCCCCTCCCCGCTGACCCCGAACAGTGACAAGACTACATCACAACTCTGCCTCACTGGGCAAAGACGCGGCGCGCTGCGCTGCTGCCACCCACGGACACGATACCCCTTCCCCCTCCCCACCTCCACCCCCTCCCTCCGGCAGCGGGGAAAGGGGGGGGGGGGGCGGAGGCGCGAGGGGCCGCATTAACATGCTACTTGGCTTCGCATGTCGTTCACAGCGCTTGATCTGGCAAGAGTTTCCGACGCTTTACCAGATATAGGGAAATGTCGTGCCTGCGGGATGCGGGGAAGCGCGGAAGCGGGAGTCGGACGCGACAGACACGGATCGGCTCGGGCAGATCCACTGGCCACAACACGGTCTCCAAAGATAACGACAAACAACGAAACGGAACATCCGTTTACGGACGCTATTCACATACCGAAGCCGTAGGGTGCGGCGCCCCCAAACGCTCGTCAAATACGTTGGAAACCAGTCCCAAACACATCAAAACATCTCGCGCAGAATACCATGTCATCGACGACAGGTCCATTACGTGGCTCACCGCGCAGAACCAACGACAGCGCGCAACCCTGTCAACCCTCGAGACGGGGACCAGTTAGACAGTGCATCACTCACGACATCATCACGTATAGTCCTACGACAGAGCACGCGCGAGCACGTGAAACACCGCTTGCGCTAGCGAGGCGCAGGCACGACTGACGGCCGTCGTATCCTATTACAATGCGGCGCACGGTAAGAAGCCACCCCGCCACTGCGCTAGCTTCAACGCAACCTGCTGCTACGACGCGCGCAACAGCGAACACTGGCCATACATTCACAATGCGCGACACACAGCCGTGCGACAGCCGTGCGACCGTGCGACAGCCGTGCGACCCCAGGCCGGGTCGTGCGATTGCCGTCAGGCAAGCAAACGACCCACCGCACTTAATGGCATCCATTGCACCAGCGTTTATCCTCAGATCCGAGCGCTCATCAATTGTCCCGGGCGCTCATCCGGCCAGAAGCTCATGTATCCATTGGCAAGATAGACGGCGGTCGACTGTGCGCCGCCAGCGCAGCACTCATTTCCCGCTGCCATCAATACATGCTTCGATGAGCTCGATGCCAATGTCATGGGAGCCAGCGCGGTTATTTGCCAAATGAAGAGAAAGCCATTGGAGCCGAGACGCGGTGCTGTCTCGAAGACAGCTTCTAGTCAGCTCGTTAGATCTGCTGCTCGTTAGCAGGGAGGTTGAAACATCGTCTCGAAATGCATGCGAATGAAAGCCGGGGAAAACGGGCAGTGAATGCCGTATTAGAGGTAGCGGCGAAGCGTCACATATTCAGCAGTACCCAAGGAACAAGGCAGGCGACACGCAGGCTACCACTGTTGTGCCACGGTGTCGCAAGGCTGACCACCACTGCGAATGCTGAAATAAGTCATACTGTAGCCACCTAGCGCTTATATGACTACATCGAATACGCATCCCTACTATCCCGTGCGGAACAATAATCCCGTAAGACGGCCGACAATACTCAATAGCCAAGTTGCCAATATGCTGATACTGCAGTGTCGATTGCCGCAAAGCATTTTCACGGGAATATATTCTACATAATAAGGAAAGTCAAACTAGCTTGGTTGCTATCTGTGCGACCTTGAACATTTCTCAGATAAAAGATGGCGGCCGCCACCATCTTGAATGTTCACCAAGTTGTTGTTTTGATCTGGGTAACATAGAAGATTTTGTAATATCTCTTGGTTGAGAAGCTTCTTCGGGCTAGGAGTGTAGTGGGCCATCTGAGTTCTCAAACTTTCAGCCAGGCATTCTGCTGTCCCAGAAACTGGCCAGACGCCGCGGTACAGCAGCCGGCCGAGGCCAAACAACACCTGATCTGCTGACATTGCTGTCTCGCTATCCGAGTATCACCAGGCGCGCCCGTCCGTCAGAAGCTCCTCCCTGGCACGCTGAGAAGGGTGCTTTATCCGTCTCACGTGTCAACTCATTTGGCAAGCATAATGTGGTGACCTGCCACGAAAAACTACGGCAACACTGCCATGAAACAGTGCCACTAGAGGAGGAAGTTGTCGCTTTTCCCTCCGTGCAGGAGCATGAACACCAGCAGTGTGGGATTGAAGAGCGTGTGCATATTCTTCTGGTCGGGTGCTCTTTGGCTGCCTCCAGGTAGTCCCTTTGCTCCTGGCATGCCTTGGTTCTTTCGTGTACAGCCTCCGCAGCAGAACGGCGATAGCGAGGTGTCCCCTTTGCGACCCACCCACCAGGCTGTGCAGCTACAGCGCTGCAAGGGGCCTTCCAAACTGAACACACCTCAGCTCCCCACAAAAGGCTCTGTCCCCTGAAGAGCCACGGCTTCAGACCACTGCTGTCAGGTTCAGTCAGCAGTGCAACGCGGCATGACTGTCGGAAGTCCACAAGACGACAAAGCCGGCCGAGTGGACGGGCTTCAATGCTCAGCAAGGCCGACTGGCGGCGGGCTCTGCCTGGAAGTCTAAGACACTGGTGGCGTTCGGACCGATGGTCGACTCGCCGTCTGACAGCCAGACACTCTTCCGTCTACGCTTGCGTTTTTTGAAAGGACCCTCAATGATCTCGGGACGCATCACACCCATCTCGCTGCCGGCAGCCATCGCATGCCACTCGGACGGCATGGCTGGTCTAGTTCATTGACCCTCAGCGCCGGACCAACCTCATACTTTACTCATACGGGTGTGTGTACGCCGGTAATGCACGGGTATACTTCACACGGACATGATGCACACTCCCACGAGTGTCCTGAGCTGTGTAGGGATACTGATGAAGGGATCTATCGTGGGTGTGACTATGATCGCAACGTTTAGTGGCGGCATCACCAACGGTACAAGCGAAGGGTTTGGACCAGCGCCCGGGGGGCATACCGCCTCATTATCGCCGTGCTGCTGCATGTCTTCTGCTTAATGGCAACAAGTCATACCAGGGGCTACGCGGCTTCCTGGAGTCAGCCCGAGAACACTCGACTGGGAGGATGTGGGCAGGCTTCTTGGTGGATTGGTGGTGCACGGGATCATAACAGGAACGATTGTTGCAAGGGGCATGACGTCAGCAGAATGCAGATCAATCATCTCGCTGAGCATAAGCGCTGCCACTATAGCCACGGATGTATTCAACTATTAGCTGAACGTGTTGGTACTGCGCTTATTTACAGTTTGATACTGTTGACCTGTACCCAGCTGCGCGAGTCTGGCTGTCTGTCAGATTGGAATATTTCCTAGGCAGCAAACGGTCTCACTTCAAATCAAATTCACTATACTGGGACTTCAGCGACTTTTAGGGTATCCCAATATGAGCCATCAAAGTTTTTTCTTATTAAGCTGTGTCTATTTCTGGATATATACATAAAGTATCATAATATGTGAGCGAAGATATCTCGCGCTGGCAGAGTTGTACCCCACTCATAGCGCGTCGCTTTATAGCGATTGGTTTCTGAACGGACACTGTAGTAGGTCCAGTATTTCATGTCTATGTATGCATCATATTTTCTTATGAAAATACGTCCTGTATTTCACGCATTACCTATACCCCTATGATTTATAATACACCCAGCTGCTGCCAGATGCATCCTTGCAATGAATACGACAAGACGACAAACCACATATATCGACCAAATGAGGCGATTTTCATGATATTTAATCAGGTATGACCTTTAACTTTTGATTTGATCCTTAATGTGGAACCCATGCATTAAAAATAAGTGCAGAAATGGGCTCCCCGTCATCGAAAATACCTGCAAAACGGCATCACACGATCGTCTATGTTGTCAAAATAACATTTTGAAAAATTTAAAATGGCGGCGGCTGCCAGTTGGAATTTGGATGAATGTACAGAGTTACACAAGTGGCAAAAAAGCTAAGTTGGTTCCCCCAGGTCCGTAAAATTAGCTCCATATAACATTTCCGTCAGAAGGTCCCGGGAATATTAATTGCAGGGTCTCATATAAGAAGTGTAAGAATGGCAGCTCGATTACACGAACCCAGTCAAATAAAAAACGTCTTCCAAAGTGCATGCGTCGTGTACGTTGCACATGTTGATATGACTATGGTATATAGCGCATTCACCTCTTTTGAGTGGTAGCTTGCAATGAACACAAGAAGATTGCGAACGGCATACATCGATCGAGAGGTGATTTTTTATCCGAGATCATCTTTGACCTTTGACCCTCGATTTAACCTTGAATTTGATCCATGGGCGAAAAAGACCTGCAACAATGGACTCATTGTCATAGAAAGCTCCTACAAACGGTGTCGCACAGCCTTCCGATTCATCGAGAGAAAGACTTTGAAACTGTACCAACATTCAAGATGGCGGCGGCCGCCATCTTGGATTCTGAGAAATGTTCAAATTCGCACAAGTAACAACCAAGCGTATTTGAATCTCCTACCTACGAGGAATATTTTCCGTGAAAAAGTTTGCGGTAGCCGAGTTACAAGTTTTTTTTTTTGTATCGGGACCGAACGCGTCAAGACAACATCACATGAAATGCCTGCCAAGTTGTGCGACCACACACACTCAGCCCAGGCTTCGCGTTCCGTGACATCATATCTCACAGCTGTTCGGTGGCATTACGCGTCCCACCTGGTACACGTCCACGTCCTGACACGTCCCACGCGACACGTCCTGGAATCGCGTCATGGCTTCTTTGGTCTCCCAGAGACGTCATGCCACTTAGGTCCTGCCTCATCGTAATGCCTCCCGCAAGCCATGCCACGTATTAGTAGCCTCCCTCGGCGGCGCCCAGTCCTGCCATGTGATCGATCCAACCCACTGGACTGTGACGTCACATCACTCCCGTTGTGACGTCACACGCTGTCCATCGGCGCCTCGCCGCCGCTGGCGACGTCTCGACGGCGCGCGAGCGCCGCCTCGGGCGAGGCGAGCGCGTCCACCGCCGGCGGCGCCTCTGCCCAGGTCACCGTCCGCCGGCGGCCGACCGGCCGCGGCCGCCGACCTGGAGCCGCCCCTGGCGGCGTGACCCGACATCAGACGGGTCCATTGGCATCGGCCGGGGGGCGGCCGGACAGCGGCTCCAGCTCCTTCAGCGGTACGGAGACACCGCGGTCCAGGGTCGACTTCGTGGAGGAACCCCTGCAACACGGCGCCGCTCTCTGACTGACACTGGAGGACAGGGCTGAAGAATGCTGAGCAAAGTAAGCAGGGTGGTCCGTCATATTTCAGTGGAGAGACGGTACAGTTGTACCGAATTTAAGGAGAGTTGGTGTCGCAGCTGTTCCACCTGTCGCAACGGATTTTCTACCAATGCTAGAGGAGCTAGTCAATCGGTGCTCTGACGCCATAGCGAAGGAGTGGAGGCACACTGACAAGATCACTGAGGGATGGGGAGGGGGATGGGATGCACGGCTCGGCGCAGGGCGTCTGGCGACGACGTAGAGTCGAGCAGGCACAACTCATTGACACCGCACTGAGGACAGAGTGCACCAGAGGGCGCGCCTCACTGCCACAGACCTAGGAGCCGATACCGGCCTGGCGAAGGCAAACAGCTCAGAAATAAGGCGCTAAGGAACGCGGGAATCGGTCAGATTGCTCACTTCAGTCGCACCAGCCACGCGCCGGATGGGGGTGAGGTGTGGAATGAGGGGACGGATGAGGCGGTGCGCTGAAGCAGATGAATCATGCAAGTCATTAGCCATATCACGCTGTTCAAGGGTGTTCCACTGGTGGGACAACCGGATTATGCGACTGCTTTGTATCGCCGAAGTACGTGCAACACTAGTGGACTGTAAGATGTGATTTTGAAGACCGGAGGAATCACAACGCATGCCTCACTGAGGTGACGTCTACCACGTTTATAGCCTTTGCTCCTCCTGGAAACATTTAATGGACATTGTGCGTCCCAGGATTCGCCCTATTCAAATGGCTTGATCCAGGCGATTGATCATTCTGACTAATTCCATCATCAGACATCATCAGACCGAAATTGCGTGCATCGGTCGGGATCCTCAAACCACGGGCGTCACGAAGGGTGGGTGGGGTAGTGGAGCCTATCAAGCGTCACGGAAGCCTCAGTTGCGAATAAACTGGAGCAACTGTGGGTCCACAGATACTTGCTTGATTTGACCCCCTTTCCCCGAATAGCACTTGGGCACACCACAGGTCAATGGCTGTCCGCCCCAGGCGGGAAATCCCAGTGACGCCCGTGGCTTGCGCCGACTGGCCGACCACTGTTGACAACGCGGCGTGAACAAAGCTGGAGGAAAGCACGTAGTTTGCCACCAAAGCTTCAGTTCTCCATGGCAGCTCGCTAACCTGGGAACAAATCTGCACACCGTTTCCAAACACGGGGGACGGCATGCATTATGCAGCACATGGTCTGCACGAAGACTTACGCCCAGAGTTTGCCCTTCAGTGACCTCGAGAAGCGTGACCTGAGCTCTTCTGAGGCGTCGTCGTGATCGAACGAGTCACGTGCTTCGTGGCAAGCGCTTCGCTGGAATTTGCTCTTAAACTCGCGCTTAAACTTCTCCTGGAAGAACGAGTGGCACGTCGGAAAAGGAGTTACGGGCGGAGGACGATAGTAACGCGCGTACACTGTGAGTCAAAGGGTCGAGACATGCTTGGTGTTGCGCTCTATTTGTAAGGGCTCCAAGGCCAGATGCTGAGGTAAGAGAGCCACTTCGCCGAATTTCTCGTTGGGCCAAGTGGTGCAAAGCAGCGCCGAAAGTCCTGATGCCCGGTTCGAACGTTTAACCCGATCTATTCGGTGAAGTACAGAACGTGTCTCCTTTGATATTTCATAGCTTACGACAACAGGCAAACATGCACGTTCCTACTTCATCTTCATTTGCGTGATGGCCAAGCAAGCATAACCAAAAAGATTGAACGAGTAATAGTAAAAAGTAAAAAAAAGTAAAAAAAAAAAATAGGAGCCCACGTATAAAACAGCTTACATTGTAGATGCCATAGATGAAAGGATTGCAGCAGCTGTTTGCCATGGCGAGCCAATGTGAGCAGAAGAATATCACATTTATGTACCGGAACCTGAAAAAGTTTGTTGTCATCAGTTCAACGCTTCAGAATGATACCCAAAAATCGCGATAGTTGCATTGTTGGCAAACAATTACGGAGTTCCACGGCTGCTAATGGGCTGATTTCTGTGGAACACAACACATGCCCAATCTGACGGAGGCCCTGATTTATTCCACGCAGAACGTCACCGCCGCGCGCGTAAAATGATCATCCTTGGACAGCAGGCACCCATGGACGCCTTTTGTCTCCAAGACTCACAAACTAAAGCTGCCATTGCAGTCGGTAGCAGGGCACCATTACAGCTAGGCGCCGAGAAGATCACGGTAGCCAATCAGCAAGACGCACGACATCATGACTTTCGCTGATTGGTCAATTTGCAGCGAACGATGACCGTCACATTCGCAGTCCCAGTGCACCGCATTATCCTCTAACCGATGACATCAATGTCAACATGCCAGCGATAAAGCCCTCTCACCGCAAACGACGTACGATTTGCTGCGCTTGACCGCAGGACAAGTATAAATGACATTCCGCAGAAGCAGAGCTGTGCAGAATTACTGGGGCACGCTGCAACATCTGCTGAACTAGCTAACATAGTCGCATGAGCCTTTACTGAAATTGGAAGCGTTGATTGAAAAATTGGGAGCTGCCGCCAAAACTGTGTGTACTGCTGCTGCCGCTCCAAGTACACACAGTTTTAACACGTCGCATTCGAAGGCCCCGCCCACACAGCATTGTGTCAACCGAGGCCCGCCATGCCTCGCTGACGACCTCCAACCCTGGTGTCGCATGTGGAGATGACTACGACTGATTTGTTTCATAATCTCCTAAAAACAGTGGGCAGCCCCATCTTGGGACTTTTATGAACGTAAGAGACGAGTGCTTGTTAAATCGTCTTTGTTTCACTTTCTGAAGGAGGAGTAAAACAGGCGCCAACTTACTGGAGAAGATCGAGGAAACCACCAAGCTGGCCTACCTTTGCTATTTTAAGCATTCTAAATGTAGAGGCCAATTGAAACAGGATGCGTGGAAGGTAATGAAATATGGAGGCACATACAGGCGACACATCAGGTCGAAACGCCGGTAAAGTTGCAATATGATATGCTATGGTTTGTTCAGTAACGGGGATAGAACTGCCAAGCTATGACATACAGACACGGCTCCATCATTTTACGAATGCGGGTGCTGACTCCTATACCGACGAATGCGTAGCCACTCCCAACGGATCTGGCAGGATGTGGGCTGTTACAAATTTGAGTGAATGTAGCACTACTAGTGCATTTCGTAATGACATTGTGCACCAATTTGGAACATCTTCTCACGTACCTTAGGTTCTTTAGTCACATTCTATATTTGAAGTTGTACACTGATGACCACGAGCGCTGCTAAAACCATCGGATATTCGTGAATGATGTGCAATGAAAGCTTGACATATTCTTATGCCCGCCATTTCATGGCATATAAAAGGTAATATATTCAACGTAAGAGCTCATCAATCCATAAGATCAGAATCCAGGAACTAAAGATTTAAGTCTAGCTACCATCACGTCACCATGACTAGTTGAAGTGACGCAGATCGTGACCAGTTAGAATGGCGCGGATCATGACCAGTTAGAATGACACGGATCATGACCAGTTAGAATGACACGGATCATGACCAGTCAGAATGACACGGATCATGACCAGTTAGAATGACACGGATAATGAACAATTGGAATGACATGGATCATGACCAGTCAGAATGACACGGATCATGACCAGTTAGAATGACACGGATCATGACCAGTTAGAATGACACGGAATATGACCAGTTAGAATGACACGGTTCATGACCAGTTAGAATGGCATGGATCATGACCAGTTAGAATGACACGGATCATGACCAGTTAGAGTGGCGCGGATCATGACCAGTTAGAAGGCGCGGATCATGCGGATGGCCTCGACAGCTCCAACGCCGCGTCAGCTTTCCATCCAGATGGCCATATTCTTAGTTCCCAAATGTATCATTTATCCTAAATAGACTGAGTCAGCTAAGCGGCACAATATGTCACGCGTAGATCCTTTAAATTATGCCAACAAGTGACGCATTTTTTGAAAGGCAGATCCACTGCAGAATTTTTAAAACCAACAAACTGTCCAGCGGGCCTACCGCATGACATACTGTAAATCCCTGATATCAGAGTAATCCCTGATTATTGATATCATGATTTACCCCAACCCGCGATAGCGTGATTATCGCGACCTTCGAAGGCAACTATTACCGGAAAAGGAACAATATGCACTGATGACCAGCAGGTTGAAATAGCACTTGACTTCTCCGCAATGTCCACAAGCGCGGTGCCAACACGTCGCTCAGCCAGAGACTGTATTAAAGGCCTGCTTTACTTCGAGAGTAAAAATTCGCTCTCGCACCCGAGGAAATGGTCCTTCGAAGCTGCGATTGCCGATGTCAACAGACCATGCATCTCGCTTTAACCCACAGCTCAGCATTGAGGCCTCTTTGAAAGCTTCAGATACACCGGCTGGGTATTTCCCGTAGCTAACGGCTGGTTATTTCCGCGAGGAAGTTTAATGGAAGTTCACGCCCAGAAGGGCAGTGTCCACTGAATGGAGGAGCCCGGCTGAGTGCTCAGCACGGCTCAGAAGATTTCAGAAGTTCCGGCCACGAAATCTATTCCGAAAGAGTTTCTCGGCCAGACATGGCCTTCGATTTTGGCGGGAAACAAATATGAACGTCGCTATAGCGGGACCGAGATCAGGATGTCGTAATTTGTAAAGTTACCGCCAGATGTCACTGGGATAGCGGGGCAATGTCGCCCCTTTGACGCGATCTTGGGTTCACAGAAAACAAAGCCACAGCGGATCTCAAAATGTTCATCGCAGAGTCTGGTTGCTAGGGTTGGTACATACTGGGTCAGAATACAGCTGCATATGCAGGAGCGCTGCTGAAAAGCGTACAATATCATTCCAGCCCACAAGGAGAAATTGACTGAAAAAGTGCTAACAGTGCTGCATGATGATGCAGAGTGTCTAAAAGAAACGGCTAGAAGCTCACGCAATCTGATGGGAAGGAACATCAGAATGTCGTTCCTACCGACGTCCACCCTCCCTCTGATCTGCTGTGTTGAGTATGATCTACTCCTCTTCCAAAGGGAAGCAGTCCGAGGCACATTGCAGTGGTGACCATTTTACAACGGATCAGTTCCAGCGATGTTTCGGCATGTTCACGATTTTGTGGCATCTCGCACCGCTTGCAGTCGTCCCGCGTTTTTTCATCATGCACCATGAATGCTTATGGAGAGACAAGGTAAACCTTGTAAGACAAAGTACCTAAACAACCAAACCAGATAGAAGCTTAAACGCCTGATCTTGGCCCCATGAAGTTAAAATAAGTTAAAATATAGGCCTTCTTATCAGACGGCGGTTTCACAAAATGAATTGAGTGTAAGGAGGGAAAAATGGCAAAATATGCTCCTTTCTACAGCCTTCTCCCGCAGTCAACTGAATAGGAAATTGCACCCCTGGTGTTCTTTTGTTACTCAGTCGTATGAGCGCGAAAACCCAGAAAAGGCCGCAACATCCATTTTGAGCTTTCAATTCGCAGATTATCACAATTTTGACGCGTTTACAAAACAAGAAGTTCATGGCACACTTCCCCATGCAGTGTGAACCAAGACTGCACTGAACGGAACCCTTGATTCACGACACCGGATCCGGGTCTGACATGAGGCCCGGGTCCGGGCTCTGAGGGCTCTGAGGGCTCTTGTGGCCCAGCCGCATGCTTACTGGCTGATGACAGGGAAGATGGACTGCAGCACGTAGTACAGCTGGAAGGGCAGCCAGCAGATGATGAACATCACCACCACGATCACCAGCATCTTCAGTACCTGCAGCAGAGGTCATCGATTCAGACAGTTGTTGAAACACGTGTGTTCTTCAAGAACACACCTGGAGGTATTGTAGAACCGGCGGACTTGACACACAGCATGCCGGTTGGTGGTAAAACGACCAAGTCGTTTCCGCGCATCAAACACATGATGCAATACCATATGTTGAATGGAAACATAATGCAATAATACACCATGTTACTTCTTGCGATTTTTAAATCACAACTAGCTGCATTCAATCCACTGTTGTATCCTGAACGCAGTAGAGTAAGTTTGGACCGTCGTAAACATTCTGGAGGTTTTCCATAACTTACATATGCAGCCCTGTTAAAATTTCAAACACGAGTGTAAGAAGTGGTCAAAAACAATTGCAAACATGCAGCGGAAAAATAGGGTGTGACTTCAGGGTTGTCGGTTAATTCGGGTAATGAAAATATCACCTGTGAATGCCTAAACATCCCACTTCGGGCAAACAGCGAGCCTTTTATCGACTCGACCACCCCTCCCCCTCCCCCACCTCCCGCTCACCACGAGAGGGTGATTCGGAGGGCAGACGGTCTAACCAAGTGAGCCATCGGAACAGGTAAACGAACGGAATGCGACTGACATGCATTCTGGTCGTATTCATCTACAGATATTGCACAACATTTCACTGAACCTTCTTCAAGTCTGAAAGAATTTTCAACAGCTTTCACTGTGGAACCCCGGCAACTGCATCAGCGCGTAGCGCACAATTTGGCAGACCAGGGCGTGATTTATCACGCTGGCTGCAGATGCAGTCAGCGTGAACACAGGTCATTCACGCGCAACCAATTTGCCGGTTTGACCTTGACCTTCTGCCCTTTACGCGTCCACTGAACCCTTCTGCGCTGCAGCGGCAGCGGCAGACGGCTACAAACTTCCTGGTCGTCTGCCTAACCGAAAGGCTCAGAATAGACCCGAGGGCCTGGTCTGGCCGCCAACTCAGTTCCGTGATACACGCAGGGTGCATTCATGGATCTGGCAGCTGGCGGCGCGCTGCCAGACTGTCTGGCAAATTGAAGATGGCCTTCCCACGCTGAGTGCTGCCTTCACGCGTGGTGGGCAGGGCGACACGCGCCTCAAACAAGGGCAGAGAATGGAGCACGCAATTTGCATTCCTTTGCTAGTAGGAAGATACCCAAGTTGAAAAGGAATTTAATCCAACACACTTCTCTCGACAGCGGACCCTTAAACGAGGCATGGAGTTCAGCAGGAGCACAAAATTGCCCATATCGCTGACAAGCCGATGAGGAATAGCATGGTTCGTTGCCACGGATTGCGAGGTAATGATGAAATGGCCAAAGTTTTAATAGCATTTCATATCATCTCCCGATGCGGTTCTGAGCAATTTCTGACACTAATTGAAAATGCCAAAGGGTGGCCGTGCTCCGTGGAATAGGAAGTGGCCTGTGCAGAATCATTGAGCGGAAATGGTCGTCGGTGTTGTCTTTGGGGCTCCATAAAGCACTCAGCGGCTGAGGTTATTTGGCGCCGTTTACCCCCCAGGCTGGAAGGAAGAGCGATCACCACGGGGAACTGAACTCAGTGCCCCTAGTATCTCAGACGCGGGAAGTAGCGGCCATTCAGCAGGAGCTGAGGAAAGAACTCGTAGAAGAAAATGCGCGCTTAGCAAGAAGCTCACGCCAATTAGAAAACCTGGCCACTGAATGAGCCATTTATTCACCTATTCGTCTACATAGAAGTTATAAAGAAACTCACCTCTTCTTGCACAGCGTACTGGAGTGTAGGATTTCAGATAGCGGTACACAAGACCAAGTGCTCGCAGATATAAGCAAAGATGTGATGGGAGACACCCCCGTCGAAACGTAGAAGAGCGAGTGAGACCAGCGTGGCCCATCTGCACCTGTCCAGTGTTCCATAGCACTGTCGTTGAATCTTCACCAGAGTCACCGTTTAAAGCCTGTCATCATCTATTTTAAAGGCGAAGTGTCACCATATAGAAACCGCATTCTTGTGTTCACGACGTCAGAAAACCAGATTCAAACATGCCGACTGTGAAGAAAATGTTCCATCTTAAGATGAAGCTAAGTGGTTGGCACCTTACGCCACTGCATGGTTAATCTAGTCAGAGGCAGACGTCATCTCGGCTATTAACATACCGGAGAGAAACAAATCCTGGGTGAGCAGCGTCTAATGCAGTCTAGCGTGCGTTGAAGGCCTTCGAAGTCCTCCACCTGTTCATCAATCCGCAGCTATCACTGCTGTTGCGGAAAACGTTACTGCGACACTCGATCCAATCAAGACCATGGGAGACGCCGATTGCCTATGCATGGTAAGAAACCTTATTCATTGGGGCGGGGGGGGGGAGGAAGAGAAGTCAAGCTTCCGCACAACGAGAGACAGATGCACGTTGGAAAAACGCTCAACGTGGAGAAAGAGCTCAATCCGATTCAAGCTGACAGAACTACTAGGTAAAGCTGAGTCGAGGTTACAGCACAGACGCTTTTGGATGACGTCGGTCAGTTGATGTTTTTCTAAAATAATCTTGAGAATAAATAGGCTACATAAAATTGTAGCTTTTTCAGAGCAATTAATAGGCAGAATTTATAGTTACATAAAAAGTATGGGTACTACAGACGAGTTTAGGAATCAAACAACTATGTCAGATGACCTTATTAGATGACGTTTTGCCTGTACTTGCATGAATCTTGCAGCCTTTTCCAACACAAGTTTGAAAAATAAAGGGCGTACAGAAAATAGCATTCACCTCACGCAGTACATGGACTGTTGTACAGTGCAGATTCAGCTCAAAAACTCCTTACCATATTCTATGTACACAACACAAAGTTTGATGATCGATGTAAGAAGTGAGTTTGGATTTCAGGCAGCTATGTAAGTTGGGCTTGTCAGCTGACGTTTTGTTAGCATTGGCTGCACGGCTGCTTCTTGGAATTTCCTTTCCGTCATGGTAACAAAGCCGGATCTGGCTGTCCTCAGCACGGAACCTCCCAACCCTTCCGGTGGACGCCCATCAACAAAGCCCACCTGCTGCCGTCGCTGCCCATCATACCCAACGGTGTGACGTCTGTGGCGTCTCCCAGACCAGCGCTAGTGTCGCGTCTGTCACGTCTTCCAAACTAGCGCTAGTGTCGCGTCTGTGACGTCTCCCAGACTAGCGCTAGTGTCGTGTCTGTGATATCTTCCAGACTAGCACTAGTGTCGCGTCTGTGACGTCTCCCAGGTTAGTGCCAATGCCGCGTCTGTGACGTCTCCCAGACTAGCGCTAGTGTCGCGTACGTGACGTATGTCAGACTAGTGCTAATGTCGCGTATGTGACGTTTCCCAGGCTAATGCTAGTGTCGCGTCTGTGGTGTCTCCCAGACTAGAGCTCGCTCGCTGGGTAAGTGCTAAGTGGTAAAAAGACTGTGAGGTGGTAAGCAGGGTAGCCTGCCCGGCGGAGAAAATGACGCAAGGCAGTGCGTCGTGGAGGAGCAGAGGTGTTTTACGTGCCTGAAGGGTAATCACCAAACCGCCGAATACTTCAACACGCTGCGGCGTCATTGTGGTCAGGTCCACCGTAGGCTGTTCTAAACTGCAGTAGGGGGCAGCAAGCAGGGAGGAAGGTGCGCAGAATGTGAGAACTACCCGTCGCACCGAAGTGCTAAGCCTTAGCGCGGAACAGAACGTGGGCTTCCGAATACCTGTCCGTGACCGCATACCGTGGCGACAACCGAATGCTGGTCATTCAATGCCATTCAATTTCGGGACGGAGCACCTGACGCCATCATATCCGCCAAGAAGTAATTCATGACGTCAGGGTTGGCTTACTTCAGTAATTCTGCCATACCGCTGCCCTGGGAGGGCCGGCGGTAATGGAAACCGCAATGAACGTTCAGTTTCCTTTATCCAGCCCCAAGGATATTTTTTCTCGCGAGACTATGGAATCCCCGCCAGTATGGACTCTCACAGAAATATGTTCATATCCAGTTACGACCTGGCGGAGCGACGAGCAGGACCATCTGAGAGAGAGAAAATCCCCAAGGGGCGGGAAAACAGTGCGATAGATCTGTTTGCCACCGGTGATTACCGGTAGTCCCACGGCACATTGAAACGGCCCAGTGAGCCCCATGCTCACCTTTAGTTATCAGTCATTGCTCGGCTGGGCTAGCGTCAGACCAGTCAAAACTAGTCTACGGTCCAAGTAAGACCAGATCAGACCAGCCACGCCCCAATAACACTGCTTATTATAACGGCACCTGTCCCGATTCTAGCCCACGACCCAAATCACCTTCTCCATAAGTTAGGGGAAATCGACGCAATACCATTCGAAGAACCGCGATGCAAAAGGCACGAGTGTTCCGCACTCAGTGCATGCTTTATCTGGTACGAATGTCAGCTCTCAGTGTTATAATGACGAATGCTACGAAAATCCCCTGGAAGAGATTCCATATCTGAACACTAACAACCCGGTGCACTGTCTTGTCTCCGTGCTTTAGCAGAAATATCGCATAAATACTCACGGTTTCCGGAGACATACCTAGAGGTCATGAACAGCATCATCCTAAAATGATCAAGAAATTGAATGAAGAGAAGAGTGACAGGGAATCTAAGAGGCGCCTTCCCCAACTCGCCGTCGCGAAATGCGGCTTAGCCCGGCATTGCTGGGGGTTGGGGGGTGGGGCTGGCCGGGGTAAATCTGCCCCCTGCCTAACATGCGTGATAATTTAAGAACGCTTCGAGATGCCGCTGCAAGATTTTCATTCATTATTAATCGATGAAGTCTAGGCCCTGTGTCAAGACAACAATTATGAGTCCAATGACAGATCAAGCATGGGTGACGTCAGATTGATGTCATGTTTGCCGATGTTTTACAGAGGCTCATAGCTGGCGACAAATTGACATAGGGGCCGAACGAGAGAACATATTGCACATCTGCAAACGGGAAATCAAACCAGTTGGTCAATAATTTATATGCATCGCCATTAGGTTGTTTTAATGCTGCACGGAAAAATATTGACTTGCCAAATGACCAGAATATTTGAAAAGTAGGCTTAATGTTTTTCGGTCTCAGACTCAGTTTACGAAGACATGAAAAAGTATCCTAAATACGACAATGCAGGACTCCCTCCCCGCGTTTCATCTGTAACAATAAATGAGCTATGAATTGGAACGCATAGCAGCTCATGTAGCTCGTGCACAAGCGGGCCCGCGCCCGCGGCGGTGGGCGGCGGGGCGCAGGGCTGCAGCAGCGGCGCGGGGATGGGGTGGCGGAGGCTGCTCATCAGTTTCACACTCAAACCGACGGCCACGTGACCGCTGGCGGGGATGCAGGGTATCAGGCTGCGCTGTCGGCAGGATCAAATCGTCGAAAGAAACGCGAACATTGATCCAACTGCTTATTTACCACTGAGGTCATTCATTTGACCTTGACCTTAGATGGTTTACGAAGAAGTGACAGCTCTTGCCAACGATTCTGATGCCCATAATTGTGGCTACGCTCTTCCACTTTGCGTCTAGATAGTTCAAATATGAAGAACGTGAATAAACCAAAATAGACATCCGGACCAAGGTTTCAGCTCTTATTTGCACAGCACCTAACCTTCGTTCCAGGCCGAGTTCGGCGCACGTAATATTGGACACCTTCATATGTACCATGTTTGATCAAGGCGCAATGATTTCATCCCATAATATACGTCTCTTAATGAAAGACGTTGTGGGCGCGGTCAAATATTCCAGAGTACCATCTTTATGTAAGTTGACCTTGACCTGTGACCTTGATACACATTCAAGCTCAAGTTTTTGTGTTGCCAAGACCGCACGCCATGACACTACAGATTGCGTTGATTTTTAAGATTCGGCTGGGCCGCTCTTGAGATAAGCAGGGGTTTTACTCTTCCCCTTTTCGGTCAACGGCGTGTCGCTGAGGACCCCGGTCAATGCCGTGTTAATGGAAATCAATGAAAAACGGCTTAATTGCTGCAGCAACCGCGGCTAGGGTACGCAGTGTCAATAAGGTTTTTCCAAAGCCCAAAACTTCACAGCAACAGAGCCGATCCCCTAATCCGGCTCTATTCAAAACCATGCCAGCTCTAGTGGCAATTTCAAGTAAAATTCAAGAAGGATTCAAAAAGGTGAATTAAAATTGAAGGAGAATTCGAAATCGCTTTCCCTAGCCGAGAAGAAACCGGCCGTTTACGAATCAACGAGACTTCCCCCCGGTGACAGGACATCTCGCTTCGGCACTGACCGTCCTAACTCATGGAAATCTAGCATAGCAAGCATTTCCCTAGGGTGCCGCCGTGACCTCGACTCAAGCATATGAAGCATTCTGCATGATGATTTGCGGTGAGACCGCCGAGGAAACAAGGTGCTTGCGGTTAGAATTCCAAAAGATGCATGAGATGCATGAGTTTCTCAGAAACGCGGATTCACTCGGGATTTGGTGCTAGAAGGGTACACCCGTGTGGCAAAACGAAGCGAAGGAAGACTGCACCACTATCAGAACGCCAACGAAAGACTTACCACTACCAAAGTCAAAGGGAGAAAGACCACTGAGATGCTGGGAGTTATGCGGAATACCAAAAGCGACACTCACTGACGAGATATCCTCACCGACGAAAGCTGTGTGCACGAAACGTGGCGTGTTCTCCAAGATATCTGCCTTCTGCCATTATCGGCTCACTTGAGTTTCTCGCCACTTTTGTTGTTAGATTCAAGATCGCATCCAGCTAAGCTGACTACTCGGTCTTGGATGGGATGAGCTAATGCTCCCATCACTAAAGACCCCCTGGCGAGCGGGCGGCTGGGGGAGGAACAAAGGCTAAATATGGGAATGCCTCGCTGCTACAGCTGAGAGAGTACATCGAAACCAAACATGCCAAATCATGAGCTCACAGATGCATCAGAATAGACACACGAAGTGATGTGTTACTTTCGACTCGTCCAGGCAGACGCCCTAGACCACGTCACGTTCGTAGTGGTAAGGACGCGGTGTTCTCCTCTGGGGGTCATTTGTACACCTCCGACCGGGCTTAGAAATAGATATTCGCCTTAAAGTGGGAGCATGTCTGGACGTGCCGACTGAGCGCCAATGGCTCCGAACTGACAGTCTGACAATGCCGAACGTGAAATGTGTCTGAGAGTTTCTAAGTCATCGCAGCATGTCGCGTGGAAGAAATCCAGGACAAAACACGATCAAAGTAATGGCGTTTTGAGTCTTGAGGCCTGAATCTGGAGGACGACTGCTCTAGAAACATTTCTGCTGCTGCACGATCTCGGTTCCTGGTTCGACTAGTCCCCGGTCCCTGTTTCAAATAACTAGCCGGCGATGACTAGTTCCTTTTTCAAACGACCACCGTTCATCAAGCTGAGCCCTGAGTTCCGAGTATTAATGAACGTCCCCAGAAGGGGATGGGATCGGCAGCTGCAGAAGCGTAGCATGAAGACAAAACGGCTGTTGCATTGTTGCCAGCTCAGGGAAGAAAATGAGCGATCAATTCCGAGACAGTTTTGTCATAACGGCTGTCGGCGGTGACTGTATGTGTTTGCCGATTCATCAGATTATCGGCCATAACGTTGTTTGATCTCTGTAAATTGTTGTTCAAACAAGTGCGGGATGGCGTATTTTTGGAAGCCCTGTGAGGTGCGAGATCAAAGACAAGCGAGCCCAAACAGGACAGGGTCCGGGAACTTCCACCACGACTACCGGGCTCTGGGATGTTGAGCGTGTGTGGGCGCCTGGGCAAGTTGATCCACCCCATGATGGAAACATCCCATTGAACATCCCCTTGTCTCATCCCGTAACCACGCTGACTATTCCACAAGCTCGCCAATGGTTGCGTCATTCCGGAGTCAATAGCGTTTCGAGACACTTGGGAGCACCAGTGGATGTTGGACAGGCGTTAAGCCGTCAAAATTTGGCGACGAGTACTCCATTTGCATGAGTTCTTTTTTAAGATTTTGGCTGAGTACCACAGTTGTGCATCTGGAGATGGCCAAGCGATTGGAGGCAGACAGTTTTTACAAGTATTTTCCCGGATGGATGCAAGGCGAGGCTGCCGTACCGAAAGGTTTAGCGACAACGTGAAGAACTTCATACGAACAGGATAGGAGTCGGGGGAGTTACTTCAAGCTGAAGGAAAGTTAAAGCGAACTGAGACTTGAAACGGAGGAAAGCGTTGACATTGGAAACCATCGGAACGTGCCCAACACTTTGAAGTTTTGAAATCATTTGTAAACTCCTCCAAACTAGGAACGAAGGCAATGATTGGCAGCACGTTTTGAGAGATGGCGAACAGCAGACACTCCTTACTGAAGTCAAAACCCAGCCCAAATCACACCTACTAACTAACCCGGAGTCGGAACACGGAAATGAGAGTCCCCTTACGCTGAGCCATTTCTCATCGGTCCGAAAGGGCGACACTGGCCCCGGAAGTGACCAAAGAGGAGGCTTTACCCTTTACTCGTCGTTAGCGTCAACGACTGCCATCACACGTGTTGAAAGGGTGTTCAGGGAACCACTCCCAGCCTAGAACTGATGCCAAAAATGACGAGATCTCTGGCAGACACTGCTGGTGGAGGTATCGTGTTATTGCTGAATGCCACCACGAAATGAGGAATGTGGCCTCTTGCCAGAGTAAAACACGTCTTCGGCAAAGGACGTGCAGGGACGTGGCCAAGGGGAAACCCAAGACGGACCGTCCCCGCTCTTGAGGTTGCAGGTTTACACTGTACACTGGGTGATTTTGGTGGGAATTTAGTCTGAATTGGTGGTGTTTTGAGGAATATTTGGCATTTGGCCGCGTCGAGGCAATTTTTGGGCTCTGCCTGAACGCACGGACACGTCAGGGTGGTTCCGCAAAAGTACGTGCCGGCAACGAGTGATGAACACGACCTTGAACTCGCCTGTATCCCTCAACTTCAGCACCTGACTACGCGATTGAAAGACAAAGATGCTCGTGGGACGCACGCATCGCGTCTGTGAGCGCAAGCTGAATAAGGAAATAGTATGCACATATTACAGTTATTAACTTGCGATGCCTATCGTCCCGCTGCGTCAGGACAATACAAACGTGTTTATAAATAGCCTGTACAATCCTGATAACCAAAACGGCATTTCAATCTTTATCTTACGTAACGCACATCGACAGAACAAACGTATCGGATGAATCAGACAAGCGAAACAGACCTGGAAATGCATGGGATAGTCGGCGCGGTCTGTCTTGCCGACTAACGGCACCGCCACCGGTCCCTCAGCGCGGCCGCTGCCACCGGCCACAGGCCATGGCTGTCAAGGAGCGAGCGTCTAAGGCGACTCGAACCCACCCCGCTATGGGTGGGTTCAACGGACGACAGGCGCTCTAACCAGCTGAGCTGTTGGAACGGATGCAAATCGATACGGAACCGAGATGCGGGCTGAATCAATCATGCAACTTGAACGCTGGATGCGTTACCGAGAAACAGATCTTAAACGAGATCAGGGAGAATATTTAGATCCCTTCACCACCACGTCCTTCGTTTACCTTAAAAATGGTTGTCCGCTGACTGTGTTCTGTATATTATTTTAAAAGAGTGCATTAATGGAACGTCTCAAACGCAGGAGAACCACAAATAAAGCCCCTCAATTAAAGCCCCTCACTTGCCCGTGGTCTACGAGAAATCAAAGCGATGATGGATGCTCTCTCTCTCTCTCTCTCTCTCTCTCCTCTCTCTCTCTCTCTCTCTCTCCTCACTCCTCCTCTCTCGTCTCTCTCTCTCTCTCTCTCTCTCTCTCTTCTCCTCTCTCTCTCTCTCTCTCTCTCTCTCCTCTCTCTCTCTCCTCTCTCTCTCCTCTCCTCTCTCCTCTCTCTCTCTCTCTCTCTCTCCTCTCTCTCTCTCTCTCTATCTCTCTCTCTCTCTCTCTCTCTCTCTCTCTCTCTCTCTCTCTCTCTCTCCTCTC